GGACGAGAGTTCTTGGAGTTTCAAAAGGCTCCTCCTCATTGATGGCAATCGCAACATGCACATCAGATTGACTATGCGTCGTTTCAGAAGTTTTAATTTTTTAGAAGAACCATCCGTAAAGGTTCCAGAAGCGTCGACCTTTTACCATTTTTTGACAATTTCAAAATATTCCAAACATGTAGAAATTTGAACTTGTCCAATTTTTGAATGCAGTACACCTCAAGAGATTTTTGCAAAACGGTTTCGTTGTTGATACCACTTTGTCGTTGTTGTTTGACACTCGAAAACATTCCATTAAACTTGGTCACCACTTTGTTGACATTTCTCAACTTCAAATAAATTTGGTCTTTTTTCTAGTACTCTCCAAGCGTGTAATTTTCCACAAAAAATTGGACAATCCCAGTTGTTTCTAACCACTGGATCTTCGGAAACATCCACCAACCCACACGCTAATGACTTTTCTTCAGCCGATGTCCATTGCTTTGGAACCGCGCTTCTTCTTTTTTGGGTTGTGGTGGATTCTTTTCCGGCTCCGATTTTATTTCACATACGACTTCAGGTTCCCCTTGAGTTTGGGATTGGGTATGGAAATTCATTTGGGAGTTGGGAAGATCATCAAATTGATAGAAGTCATTTTTCTTTTGGGATGAGAAGTTCATTTTTTGTTGATTTTTAGATTGGATTTGTGTTTTAAATTGTGGTTGATTTTGGAATTGAAGTTGGTTTTGATATTGTCGTTGATTATGGTAATAAAGTTGGTTTTTTGTTTGAAAAGGATAGTAAACATTTCCAAAATGTAAATTGAAATGAGATAAAATAGATTATGTATCGGTATTTATATAGGGTAAAAACAGGGGATTTTTTGATTTTTTTTTTTTTCGAAAAAAACAGTCACAAATCCAACGTTCAAAATATTAAAACACATACACTCTATCTCATCGGTTCATGTGTGTCGAGTTGCCGAGCCCAGCCCGACATTCCAACGTCTCGACCCGATGTTCGCCAAGCAACTGAGAACCTTGTCGCGTCCACTCCGAGAAGCCAAAGGGTTAGGCTATATTTAATTTATCGATATTCCCCAATAATTATTTTTAATAAATATAATGATTACAAAATAACTCTGTACCTTTTTACTAATGAATATATATATATATATATATAATATATATATATATAAATATATATATATATTATTATTATAATATATATTTATATATAATAATTATTTTTTAAATCTTTATAATAAACATGATAAAAACATCTTTTATATTTTTAAAACTTTAAAATAAACATGTTAAAAGTAGTTTTATTTATTAATTTTATTATCTTTGAGTTTATTATTGAGATTTTTTTTAATATTATTTTAGTATCTTATATGAATACATTCTTGATTGTTTTACTTAAGTTTACCTTATTATTATTTTTAGAAAAAACATCATAAATGATCCCTGTGTTTTCTCAGATTCTGAAGTTTAGTCCCCGTGGTTTAAAAATCTCATAAATGGTCCCTGTGCTTTCAAAACTTTTGACAGATGGTCCTTATTGCTAACTCCGTTAACTTTTGTCCGTTAATAGATGGGTATTTTCGTCATTTCACACCACAGGGACCATTTATGATCTTTTCAGTTATTTTTTTTAAAAAAGAAAAAACTAAATATAATTATTTAATATATAAAATCTCTCTCTCTCTCTCTCTCTCTCTCTCTCTCTCTAAATCATAAGTTCAGAACGAGCTTTCATCTTCCCTATCAGTGATCATTGCAGATACAAACTCGTAATTGAAAATTTGGATTAGTACTGATTTCGATCGTCAAATTCGTAATTGAAAATTTGGATGAAATCAGAATGTGATGATCAATAATCATTGAAACAATCCAGTCAATCAAGAAGAATCAAGAACATAAAACAGAATATAAGAAAACAAACGCTCTGTTTATTTCTTTCTTTCTTCTTCTTCTTCCTTTTTAATACTACAAGTCTTGTTCCACTTGGCAGCGTCAATATACAGAGTAATCATCTAAAGATTTCCTGAATTTAGAGAAAGAAAATGTCAGTTACTAACTGATCTCTATCAATTTTATGACATTCAAGTATTTCAGGGCAATTGATCTCTTGATATGGAAGGCGTAGAATCAAAATCACAGTCACCAGGGCAGGGTAGTCGAAATATGCCAGAAAATCTGCATTCCTTTTGGAAAATATGGAAGGTAAACAAATCACTTATTTATCATACTAAATACATCTTTACATTTCAATCTATATGCTAATTGAGCTTGAATTTTCTTGGAAATTAGGGTTCCAGCAGTGTGTTAAATAAATCCTTAACGTGATTGAACAAGATGAAAATTTACCTAAAATTGGCGATATCAAGAAGTCTAAATTGATAGCAATGGTTACAGAGTGATTATCTATGTTGTCTGACCGATACCTAAAGATGAAAATTTACCCAAAATGGGAAAACACAACAATGCTAACCGGATCATCTGAAACAGTCAAACAATCCACAGCCACCACCAGGTCAGACTTAGCTGCGAGAAACCCTATCCCTGCCATGAAAACGGGTCCGAACAAAAAACCATCGAAGTTGTACGAGCGGCAGAGCAATCTGAAGAACTTCAAAATCAATCGGTTGGCTCCTGGATTTACAAACGGCGGAGGGTTCTCCGGATCCCCACGGAATCCCAACGCGCCGGAGATTATGTCCCCAATTCTTCTTGATTTTCCGTGGTTGGTGCTTAGTCCAATCACACCTCTTCTTTCTGATCCATTTAATAGGTCTCCGACGAATGATTGTTCCCTAAATTTGGATGTTGAGGCTGAAGAAAAGGCAATTGCAGAGAAAGGATTTTACTTACATCCGTTGCCGGCGACTACTCTGAGGATGGAGGGTTATATGTTTCGATCGATCGAGAGAGAGAGAGATTAAATTTAATTTAAAAAAATAAAAGAAAAGAAAACATCATAAATGGTCCTTGTGGTGTGAAATGACGAAAATACCCCTCAATTAACGGACAAAAGTTAACGGAGTTAGCAATAAGAACCATCTGTCAAAAGTTTTGAAAGCACAGGGACCATTTTTGAGTTTTTTAAACCACAGAGACTAAACTTCAGAATCTAAAAAAACACAAGGACCATTTATGATGTTTTTTCTTATTTTTAACTTAATTATTTTAGAATTTATATTCTATCCTTTTGACAGTTATTTGAATGAATGGTTTTTCTAACATTTTTTTAGTTTTCGACTTATATAATTTTAAACAAAATGAAGTTATAATAAATACGAAATGAGTAAAAGGTGTTTAGAAAATAGAGTTTTCGTTTACAAATGATTAAAGTGTACTCGTATAAAAGAAAGTATATAAGCATTTAATTTTATTGGTTTATAAATTCCGATTAGTCTATATGTAACTCAAAATCCGTTTCAGATTAGCTGATGTATAACTCGAAAATGAAATAAATGTCAAAAAACATTAACTAACATATCCAAAAAAAATTGTATAAAGAATTATAATAAAATTCTCAAATCATAAAAAACAAAAATATTAAAAACATATTATACGTTAGATATGCATTTAAATAAAACATTATCAATCTCTCTCTCTCTCTCTCTCTATATATATATATATATATATATATATATATATATATATATATATATATAGAGAGAGAGAGAGAGAGAGAGAAAACTCACCTGAACTAAAAAGTTGAACCTCAACAACAACCTTTAATGATAGAAACAATTTACACAAGCCTCCTAGTGTCAAACCGAGACCGGACCTTAGCTAAATACTAAATTCTACCAAAGTTTAACCAAAAGTCAAACTGATCAAAAACTCTACAGTCCAAGTCAACGATCAATGACCTTCATGATGTGAGCATTGGCCGATCTAGTCTCGAATCACTAAACGACAAAATAGTCAGGGATTCTCCGGAAGTCGCACCTCGAAATCCAATAAGTTTTGCCGTGATTTTTAGCTGAACAACCTTCTACTATAAGGACTTAATCCATTAAATGCATACCTTTAAATCCTCATATCGGAATCAGACAATCGTCATGATGGATAAAATTTCCATCTTTATTCATCCCAGAGGCTTAATAGCTCTAATTTTAAAACCTTAAGTCCAAGAGTCCACTTATAATGCTAAAAGTCAATGCATTGTGAAAGAACAAGCATGCACAAACATATTTCCAACACTAAGCAAGTTCAGAAGTTGGTTAAATCACTTAAATCATTATAGAGTTCTCCACACTCCAAGAACCCCAGTAAAAGGACTAAGATGACAACATAAAACAAACCAAAACCCATATTTAGCATCAAATAAGCATAAAGTAGGAAGCTTTGCATCATACCAAGGTCCAAAAGTTGTTTACATGAAGATGAACTCGAGGGAAGACAACTAATAAAGACTAAATGTTCTTTCTTATTATACAGTCTTCTAAAATAAGGCATCGAAGAACACTAAACTTGCAAGGAGTGAAGGAGGGAAAATATGGAGGCTAGGGTTTGCTCCCAAGGAGGTCTTTGATGAATTATATGATGGAGGTTGCAAATGATCTAGAACATGGATATAGTACCTTTAAATATAAGATTTGTAATGCCTCATTCCTACTATGCATTTAATTTTAATTTGTTTATTTTTGTAGACCTACTCAACAAGTTGGGAGCCCTAGACTTGTCAAGTAGAAGCGGGATTCGATGCGGGTCTAAAGCCATTTACTCTACGAGTTGAGAGCCCTCAAATCGTCGAGTAGGCCTACCAGAATGAAACCCTAATTTCGGGGTTTTGCACCCTATTTAAGCAACTTAATCCCTACCTTATGGCCTCATTTCCAGCTTCCAAGTCCCAAACCATAATCCACAAAACCATAGAGCATTTTGTGAGTGTGTGAGCCATTTGTAAGTAATCTTGTGTGTTGTTGAAGTTTGAAGAAGAAGAAGAAGAAGAAGAAGGAATTAGAAGAATCAAGAGGAAGAGAGTAGATCCATAAAGTACACTTCTTTTGCTACATTTTCTGGTAATCAAGTTTCTATCTTGACCACTAGTTCATTAGATCTCTTCCTTCCTCTTTTATAAGGGTTTTGGCCAAAGAATGATAACTTTTAGAGAACGGATGTCCTAAGTGGGTATTCTTCCAGATCTAAGACCTTGAAGGGCTAATAGGGTATAAAGGTGCAAACTTTACGCCACTAGAGCCCCCATGCAAGCCATAGAGTGTCATGGATAGCTTAAGAATGGTGGGAGCTTTACGTGTCCAACTAGTGTTATGGGTTTATATTTATGGTTGTAAGATTTAGTTTGGTGCATGGATGGCTTAAGGACCAAGTTTTAGGTCCCAGGAGTTAGGGTTTGAGCTAAACCCATTATGAAGAGATACTAATGGATAAAGTTGGAAACTTTACCCTTAAAAGGAAATTTTCGGGGTTTATGTGAAGTATGAAACTTGGATCTGAAATGTAGGGGCTGAATCAATCAAGATTGCCAAACAGACAAGGGGGCCCGGCGAGTCCATAGGGGGGGGGGACTCAACGAGTTGAGTCGATTTGTCCTGATTCCATACCGGGTGGAACTCGACGAATCTGTGAAGGGACTCGACAAGCTGACTCAATTTATTATGAGTCTGAATAGCATAGGAACTTGACAAGTTAGGAGGTAACTCGAATTGTTGGCTCAACTAGAAGTTGACCTTGACTTTGACTTTGACTAGAGGGTTCACATTCACCAGGAGTAAAATGGTCATTTTCCTATTAGAAGGATTTTTAGTTTTGACTAAGTGTTCCTTATGAATTTATAGGCGGGTAGTCATTGGATCAACCATTAGAGATTGCTCACTTGAGATTTTAGCAACCAACTTGAGAGGTGAATTTTCCTCTAGTAGGAACGGGTCGAAGGCACCAATGCCGCCCTGTTTATGTATGCTAGCATATGTCGGACTTAGGTCTGATGTCGGGGTTAGCCCGATATAGTTTATGTGTTTATGTTTTCCAGACTTAGGTCCGATGTTTGGGTTAGCCCGATGTAGTTTTTATGTTTATGTGTTCCAGACTTAGGTCCGATGTCGGGGTTAGTATGGGCCCGTACTACTGAAAGCAGAGGATCTGTACTCGAGTCAATGAAGGATGAGATGAATCTAATGAAGTTTTAGTATATATGATCCCTCGAGATATGGTCAATATTTTGATGTTCATTATTATGTGTTTTTCAGAATGGTGATTTTACACACTAGACCAGTCGGCAGTTTAGGCGCCGGTGAGGGATCAGGCCCAGCCTCAGGAGCCTAGCAGCTAGACTACCAGACTAGGGAGTTTATCTCCTCAGAGATCAAATGCAGTATCCTGGATCAGACTCTTATGATCTTTGGCACAATCAAGGAGGGTATTTTAAAGCTCTTGGATGAGTCTTTGAGTGCTTTCCGTAACGACGTGGCAGCCATGATGGGGTCACACACACTAACATTTAGGGAGTTCAGAGCTTGTAGATCTCCCGACTAGCATAGGGCTCGGGACCCCATTGCGAGCACTTGATGGTTGGTGGATGACGTTAATGCATTCCACACTAACAGATGTCCTTAGGGGATAATGTACGACTTGCATCCTATTTTATGAAGGACGGGGCACAAGACTGGTGGGAGGAGGTCAGGCATGCTATTGGTGATGATCCAGCTCTTGATGCTTTGACTTGTAGTGACTTTACGACCATGTTTAGGGCCAAGTTTACACCTATGATAGAGGTGTAACAGCTTGCTAGGGAGTTCTAGGATCTCCAGTAGACGGTCGAGATGGTGAATGTGATCCCCGCGATATTCAGGGAGAGGGCCCTTCTTGTTCCGCAGTACGTTGCGGATGAGGAGATGAAAAATGCCCGATATCATGAGATTTTGTAGAGTGATATCCGCTAGTTTGTGAGTTGCTTCAGCAGCAAGACGCTGAAGGATATGATTGTTAGGGCTCGAGAGAGGGGGTGGATATGGAGATAGAGAAGAAGAGGAAACCCGAGGAGGATCAGATAGGGAGTACGGGCAAGAAGCCCAAGGTATCAGATCACAGAGCTAGGACCCAACATGGCCGTGGCCGTTGTGGAAAATGCGGCAGGATGCACAACGGGGCGTGCAAGGCAGGGAATTCAGGCTTCTTTACGTGCGACCGAATTGGGCATATGAGCAAAGATTGTACAGCTACTACCACCACCACGACAGCATCAGACCTGATTGTACAGCTACTACCACCAGTTCCTGAGTTTAGCAACAGTAGGGCATGTGGCAGCACTTGCTCTTGCTACATTGAGGATTACAGATGACCATCAGGGCCTCTGTAAGGCGCTTGAGGCAAAGAGTAGGGCCTTTCAGTTGACAGTTGAGGTGGCACGAGCATCCCCAACGTGGTGACATGTATGTATCTTTTCCTTATCTCTTTAGTGATATTGATTATTGATTATGTTTATGTGTTTTGTTATAGGATCATTCTTAGTAAATGGTATATCAGCTTTAGTACCGTTTGATTCGGGTGCCACCTGAATTTTTTGCATCGCTCGCACTCAGCAAGAGATTCTTCGGGCTCCTCGGGAGCTGGATTGCCCACTTGATGTAGATATAGCAGATGATAGGACTGTTAGGGCTGCGAGGGTTCATCGAGGATGTACACTTCAGTTGTTTGATGAGCCGTTTTCTGATGATGTAATCGATATTCCCCTTAGAGGGAATAAGGTTATACTCGGTATGCATTTGGTGAGTCCCAATGGGGTAGTGAATGACTGCGACCAGCAGCTAGTAAGGGTTCGCACTCCTATTGGGGGAGGGTTAGTGATTCAGGGCGAGAGGCTGCAGGGTGGACTGACCCTATGTTCAGTAGCGAGGGCGAGGTGCTATCTTCAACAGGGTTGCGCAGGTGACGTCACCTATGTGTTGGATACCCGGGAGAAGGGTAAGGC